AGAGAAGCTGCACCGTGTCATGTAATTACTTACGTAGGCAATTTGTCAGAAAATATTAAACAGCACTTGAAGAAGTACAATATAAACATAGCTTTTGAATCAAACAAAACTTTACAAACTATCATAAAAAATAATAAAGATCAGACCGAAAAAGAAAACAAATCAGGCATTTACGAACTTAGTTGTGGTTCTTGTAATAAGAAATATAGAGGACAGACAGGTAGAGCTTTCAAGTTCAGACTCAAGGAACACGAAAATGCCTACGAAAAACAACTAGATACTTCTAGTTATGCCAATCACATTCTTCAATGTAATCATATTTACCATAACAATTTTAAGATTTTACACACATGTAACAAAGGATTAAAATTAGATACATTATAAGCACTAGAAATTAATAAATTAAAAGACTCTAATATCTTATTGAATGACATGTTAAATTTGAATAATTCGCCTCTACTTAATTTAGCTTTGAAATGACCAGTACTTATTATTGACTATATACGAAATGTATGCATTTGTGTGTGTACGTATGAATGTGTGAACGTATGTATGTGTATAGCCCCTGTTATCTGATTGTCGACCACGGCGCAGCATGTATGTTCTTGAGAGATCGCTGTATATTGTTAAGTCTTGATGTACAACTGTCTGACGAAGGTACTGTGATACCGAAACAGCTGTTACACGTTTTTAATGAATAAAGTGAAGATCGACAGTACATAATAAGTCTACTTTTTCATTTAATCTGATATGGATCTTCATCAAGTGACGACCGATAATATAGAATATCTAGTAATTCATGTTAAAAAAATTCTTTAACATAATATGCAAATAATCCTCCTTTGCCTGTTTCTTGATTGCACTACTTTATCTGATACTGTTATATTTCATAAACATTTTTAATAATATAACCTAATGACACATTGTACGTTCTACTGGTAGAACCATTTGTTCACCGTGGGCAAAAATCAAGTGATTTATTTTAACACAAAATATTAAAAAATTTCGTTTTTTCTTAGAAGCAGTTGAATACATGTCCTCCCAGAATATTGGCCCTGCTAGAGAGGAAGATGAGCTGACAGGCCTGGCAATCGGCCAAGGGCTTGATCTGCCTCAGTGATTGGAGGCATCCCGGGCAATAGGGAAGCCTAGCTGCGACAGGCAGCTCAATGAGATGGACGTACCTCACGCTAGTCAGTGGTGGCACTCCCTCAGTCAGGACGCAGAAGCTACAACGCCACTTCCCGATAGGGTTTTCGACGAAGGTTACCTCCATGTGTCGGAAGTTTGCGTCAGCTTCTTGGGGGGCGTAATTGCCCATCATGGCTTCACCAAAAACACCAGTCTCTTGGGCGGTGGAGGCCATGGGAAGGGATGTATCGGGACTAAACCTCCACGTGGAGGGGCGTAATCCTATTGACTCAGGCTGATGTTGTTGATGAAGAGGAGTGATATTTGCTTGATATTTAGCGGCGGCATCGTGTTGACCTTGATGACTTCTAGCGGCACAAACTCTGGCTCGAATGCTGGTGCAGGTAGCAAGTTTGCAGGGACCAAGGCCATATTTTCAATCAGCTCGAAGAAGAGTGGTTCGGCGCTGGGTATGACCGAGTTGGCTGTCGGTGCGAAGGGACCCGGAAGCAAATCCTCGAACTCCATTTGTCCTGGATCGATCAGGAATTGCACCTCTCTTGGGTTGACGAGAGGTCCAGAGGGTATTACGTGTGTGAATCACACCTCGAAAACAGTTTTCATGTTGATAGTTGCTGGTTAATAACGCGAGGATTAAATAAGTTATGGATGAGAGAGAGAGAGAAGGGAATTTAATTATGTAGAAGGTTGTGCAGCTTACCTTTTGCCTGATTTCTTGAATCGAGCACGATTGCCTACCAACTCAAATGTAGAGTGCTTTTCTTAAACTAGGAGGGGGGACCCACGTTAAGGGTTCGCAGTTTGGTTCCGTTAATAAAAAGACTAAATCCTTTTCTTAAACAGTTTTCACATTAGATTTTTAATCATAATACGTTTTTCATTTTTCTTTGGCTTCTATTAGTTTTTCGTGAGCTGTGCTTTGTGTGTAGTTCAGCTTATTAATTAGTTCATCTGAATACATGGCGTATATATATTCCTTTTACTGCTGTTTCAAACTCGGAGAGTAGCTTGGGCTTGTGCCCAAAAATAAGCTCATGCGGGATATAACCATGAGCCAAGTGAATGGACGTGTTATATGAAAACAGGGCGAATTTTAGCCATGTATCCCATTCTCCCAGCTCTAGGTATATTTTTATATATTCTACTAGCGAGTGATGGCTTCTTTCAATAGAGCCGATGGTCTGAGATCTAAAAGTTGTGGATTTTAATCGTTTTATGTTAAAAATTTTGGTAAATCTTAGATGAGTTGGCTTTGGAAGTTCGATCCCTGGTCAGTTTTTATTACTTTCAGGCACCCGAATCGGTTGTTAAACTCCAGAAAAAAATAGGCGGCTACTGTATCGGCAGTAGAATCAGGCAATGGCAGGGCATCGGAATATTTAGTTAAATTACATTGAATGGTCAATGTACAATGATTCCTCACAGTAGTGATCGAAAATCGTCCTACAATGTCTATCTCGATTATTTTAAATGCTTCTTCTGGGGTAGTGGTTATGGTCATGGACAACTTAGTTTTAATACGTACTGGTTTTTTCTGCTGACATTCTCTTTAAGTCCAAACGTATTCTAAAAGATCCTCACCCATACCGTCCCAGAAATATTTTTCTCGAATTCTACAATAGGTCTTAGCTATTGCCTCATGTCCACTTATCAGTAAATCGTGGGCCTCACTTATTATTCTAAGTCTGTCATCATGTAAGGGAATAATAACCTCATCAGTGCATATTGTCAGTTGTAGATTGTCTCTAGTCTAATCGTGCCTTAATGAATATTCTATAGGTAACCAATGCAGTTTGTCCAGTCCGTCTCCTATTTTTGCTATACTAACCGTAATTATGGCTAGGTAATCATGGCGTGTCTGAGTCTTTTTAAGCATTCTATAACCATAGCGATTGATGGTATGTTTTCTGTTTCATTTTTTACAAATATTGAGAAAACTATTCGCCCGTTGTATCAGTCGGTCTGTATAATGGAACCTATTCCAGGACTTTGGAGTCTAATCTGTTCAATATTATTCATTTATAAATCTTTTAACTGTTTGCATACCGGGATTTTGTCACTTTAATATACAGACAGAAAATGTGCGACGTTATCTTTTATCATCAATAGTTGGTCTCTCGAAAATTTAATATACTCTACTATAAAAATTGATGCTCTGTGCTTGTCTTCCACCTTATCATTTTTATTGGTCCTAATGTCCTTAGTCTTATTCCTACTGTCGTTAATCTTGAATCTATCGTCATCAGTCCTCACCATTTTTCTCCCCGTTAGGCTAAGCCACGAACCCTTTCTTTTTCCCTTTTCCTTATGATAGCTAGTACCTTATTAGGACCTGATTGTTTACAGAGTTTAAAGGATTTGTCTGGAAAAAGTGGGATCAGTTTTCTGGGTATATCAATGGGGTAGAGTCTTTTCGTGGGTTCTGAGGAGTTAAAGGACATAGGGTGCTGGATGATGATTTTGTAAGGTGCAGAGAAGCCTTCAGGGTAGCTGGTGATGGTTTGAAGTTGAGATTTTTGAGATTGGCCTTGTGTTGAGGCTTGGGTAGAGAAGGATTGTGAGTCGAATGAAGAGGTGTTAGCTTTTTTTTTTTTTATTGACATCACCGATGTTTGAAGCACTCGAAGACCTTTTTAAGGATTGTAGGGCTTTAGCCACAGAGATCACGTCAGATATTTCAGAGTTTACGGTGTTAAAGGTGTCCATGGGAAGAGCGGGATTGCTCTTGCATATGGCAAATGAGCTCGAGGAGAAGACCAGAGTGGCCTCTCCTACCTGTTATGAAAACTTGTAAAATATGATAGGTTATATGTGGTATACTACTGTGTAAATGCAAGAGGTGAAATAAAAACAAAAGAAAAAAGCAGGGCTACCCTTATAGGGAGTAGTAGTAAGAAGAAAAATCTCACCAATCTGCTGTTGAAGTCAAACTATTTCGTGGAAAATATAGTAAACATTGGTAGGGTCTGGAGCAACGCATGTGACGCGGTCAACCGTCAGCCATCCAATCTCTTGTCGGATACTTTACGATTCATTTCGAGAAGTTAGTTTCAGAATCTGAAAGTGTTGCCAATATAATATGATGCGGGAAATTCAAAATTACCAACGCGGGTCATTTAAGTATAAATATGTGGTCGGTAATTCTTCTGTCAGTACTTGATAGGATTTGTTTATTTGTTATACCGCTCTCGAGCGAGCGAAGCGAGCCATTTGTACATATGTTGTGTGAAGTAAAGATTTGAATCTTTTGCTTATTAGCAGATTTATAATACAACTGTTGATTTCCCCTGGCGCTATCATATTTACAGGTGAAGTTTCTCTTTAGTTACTTATTTGAATTCAAATTTCTTGCGTTAGTAATTTTGAATTTTCCGCGCTACGTTATGTAGGCAGCACTGTGAGTTCTAAATCTAACTTTTCAGAGGGAGTCGTAAACTACACTTTTACCCAATTTTGTACCAATAAACATACTTTACGTCGTAGATTATAAGAATTATATAGGGTTCAGAGGGCGCAAATCCGTGGACCCGAGGGTAGACGTAGTATTTTTTCCACAGGAGTTTTTGTTTTATTTTTGACGTTTATTGTGCTCACAGTAGACAAAATAGAGATTGCATCATTCCGTGGTCATTTAGAATATAATATTCTGATGCTCGATTTGACATCTCATTCACTTGTTAGTGCGCCTGGTGAAAGCTAGAAGTTTTTTTCAAACAGCCATAATTTTAGAAAAAACCGTATGTTTTTTGCTGATAAAATTGACGGTTACACTTATTAAATGTTTTCAAGTTAATTATTACAACCATCATTAGCTTCCTCGAGCACGNGTGCGCCTGGTGAAAGCTAGAAGTTTTTTTCAAACAGCCATAATTTTAGAAAAAACCGTATGTTTTTTGCTGATAAAATTGACGGTTACACTTATTAAATGTTTTCAAGTTAATTATTACAACCATCATTAGCTTCCTATAAAATATTTTTTTTTTTTTTTTTTACATTCATCATTTATTTTATTGTGTTAAGGCATTATTGATCCAAGGCAAAAAGTTAAATACGTTGGTGTACACTCCTGGTATTCCAGGATTAGCACAGCCAATCCCCCAGGCGACTAGTCCGTAAACGGACCACTGATTGTTGTTGCCTTGGCACACTAGAGGTGACCCTCCATCACCCTATGAGAAAAATGTTAAGATCGAGAAATTAAAAGTAGAATTCAATTGAATAAATAACTAAATTAATGGGATTTAATCAATAAAATAATAAGCACCGTGCACGCATCTTTTCCAACTTCTCCGCCAGCACACAAAAAGCTCATTTTATTGAGAGTAAACGTGGGTCCAAGTCTCGTTTGTCTCAACCGATTTTCACAGTCATAGATGTCTAAAATCGGCACGTCCACTTCCCTCATGATACTCTGGTAGGATCCACTCGTAAACGCATTCTTACCCCAACCTGATACGTAGCACCTAAGTAGAAATAAAAAAAGAACTTATTGACCTGCAAATTTTCGGGAAGTAAAAAAAAAGTATGGTGACATAGTGATGGCAACCGCATTATACGAACCTAGTACCTGTGGCGGGTGTAGATGTTGGCTTACAGGCTGTATTCACGTTCGGGTATGAGGCGATAGGAATGACCCCATTGATTCTTATAACAGCTACGTCGTTCTCGAGAGTGGTGGGATTAAAATTTGGATGAACGGTGATTTTGGCAACCAATGCCTGAACAAATTTAAAGGGCTCGGTCGTCTCTCTAGCGTTCCAATCACCCACACGAACCAACAGCGATGCCGGATTGTTGCTGTACAATTCTTGTAATGATTGATAAGTGCTAATTATATTTTTACAGATCACTTGTAATTTGGGGAAAAAAATTAACAAAGGAGCAGCTCCCGTGGTATGTGATTTGACTTGAAAAGATATTTGTTTAAAGTACATTCATTATATACTTTTGAATATAGGAAGATTAGATTTTACTGTACAGATTATCTATTTTTTTAATAATTCAGTAAGCAAGAAGTTTTAAGAAGCGTAAAAATTCTCTAAATCTATTAGTCTGTTAAAAATAACGTCGAATGGTGGTAATCTTCAAATTAAACCAGGTCTCGTGCCACTTACTTACTTTAGTTTTTTAGTCTAAAGTTGGAAAACTGGTATTCATTCTTTTTTTTAAATATTATTTATATACTGTACTACATTAAATAATAACTGTTGTATACGTATACAACAGTTATTATTTAATGTAGTACAGTATATAAATAATATTTAAAAAAAAGAATGAATACCAGTTTTCCAACTTTAGACTAAAAAACTAAAGTAAGTAAGTGGCACGAGACCTGGTTTAATTTGAAGATTACCATGGGCGTATAAGAATAAAATTTTATTTTGATCAATTATTCTACTTAATTATTATGACCATATTGATTTTGGAAAATCTACAAAAAAGTTTTCTACAAAAAAAAAATATCTTAGTTAAATTGTATAAATTATGTATGAGAGTAAATGATATAATTCTTAAGGGTTGAAATTTGTTTGATTTGATAAAAAAAATAACATTGAACATGGGTTAAAAATACAAAAAAAAGATGAAGCTTTTTGCCAATAAACCAATAGTGATGCTTCTTTTTAGATGCTGGGTGTTAAATTCAGTATGAAAATAATACATTCAATTTATATCAACATTTACACATAAGATGAAACTTTATGGGCTGCTGTGAGAACATGTGTGGCATCGAGGAGCACGCCCGAGCCTTTGTAGGCCTCCTGAAGATCAAGTACAGCAGCTTGCCAAGGATAAGAGCCAAAGCTTGCCTGTCCAACAACTGGCTGAGGGTTTGGCTGAACAAATCTACGCACACCACATGCTGGATCTGTTGGAGTAGGTTGGTTGGGTGTTCCTCCACAGCAAAGCATATAATTCGTAGGGCATTTAGTGTTGACGCCCTGTGTATTTTATTGAAAAAAATTTATTAGTGGTTTTGGATTTTGCATCTTTTTTCTTTAAATATGTTCTTAAATAGTAGACTCACTTAAATAGTATTTGTTAAATTGATCAAGATTTGGATATTACATTAAAACGATACTAAGAATCTAGATCGTATATTTTATCAACTCTATGCAGCAGAGCTTTTATCCTCACTGTAATTTATTTTCGAAATAAAAAATCTTACGAAGTACAGAGTTTCAAACAAGGAAGTCCTTTATGAGCATAGTTCATAGCAAAGATCACAAAACTGTTGGTACTCTCGACAAAAAAAATACATTTATGAGGTAAGTTACTTTTCTCAGAAAGCTTTTCTACGAATTACCACGATGTTATATATTGATTGTTTAGTGATAAACTGTTAAAACAATCGAAGGAGTAATGTTTTGTGATTATTGTGAAAATCGCGGTACTACGTGAATTCTTGGGGAAATAATAATCATATTTTACTATTTTTACTATTTCTTCAAAGCTATATGTCTATAGACATTTATATTTATAAAGCTAACATTCGTCATGATTTTATTATACTTTTTAAATTGTTGGTAATACCAGAGAGGCATGAGAGCATAGTTAAAAAGTGCCATACGAGTTGTAAGTTAGAGTGGTAGCAGAATGAAGGGTGTAACTGTCATATATCCTTCTCTGACAAACGCTAGAGTGTGCGAGCCAGACAAGGATAGATACCCCGTTATATATATATTATAGTGCTTTACGTCTGGCTCTCTTGTAGAGGCACTACGTAGGGCACTTAGCACTTGGGATTGGGAAGTAATTGGAAGGGGGGAAGGCCCTGAAAACTGCCCCGCATTCACCCATGACGATTGTCATGTGGATCAGGAAAACCCTGGGAAATCTCCTGTAGAGAAAACCTGGTGTATCGGCCTTATTTCTGACCTGGTGTCCAAGCTGCAGACTTAGGCAACGGGGCAGAAATTTGGCACACCTCTCTTCGACACCCCGTTATATATACACTAAATTATGCTATGCATAATACACCTGCTTGTTGACTATGTTCTTATACCTCTATGCTTATGTATATGTAATTATTGAGTCACAACTTCTAGTCTTATTAGAGAACCTGGATAATTCCTTGTATCTTTTTTTTTTTTATAAATTTTTATTTAATTCTGAAGCATTGAAATAGGATTCAAGTCTTTCTTTTTTTTTTTAAAATAATGTATTTAGGTAAATGACAAAATAGAAAGTTGGGCTTTACAATATATTACAATGAAAAATATGCCAGATCACCACAACAAATAAGAAAGAAAAATCTCAAAACTTTTTGCATACGTGTGCATATGAATAGGAAAAATGAAAATAGGGTTATAAAGAAGAGAAAGTATTAATACTAAAAGGCTTAAGTAAAAAACTTGTAGATTTCGAAGTAAAACTCATGTATTTCGAAATGAAACTCGTGGATTTCAAAATAAAACAAAATTCGTATTCTTGCTTAACAAAGAAAAGAAAAAAATAAAACGTCTAATGCAGGTGGATCAAACCTGGATGTTCAGCTGAGAAAAAAGCTCTGAATCGGGCCGTCGCCCTTACAAAGTGCGCAAGCACAAATTCTCGTAGGAACTGATGTTCCAAAAAAAGTTTGAACTCGTGAAATCAGATTTTTTAAATATTCACGTCTCACCCTTTTACTGCGCCAATGATGCGTCTATCGTGTCTCGTCTTCTCTTTGCCTTGAAGAACTTGCTCGTAAAAAAAAGGTAACAGCCGCGAGGAGGCTAGTAAATACGTGAAGAATAGAAGCAAAAAGGCGTCCACAGCGAAAGTCAACCTTAAAAGCCAAAGAAGAGAGCCGAAGATACTGCACGCTTCTTGATGGCAGGTCGAAGAGAAGTGTGTAATAAATAAATTAAAGGTTACGGCAATGAGCGAAAAAAATTGCAAAATGATAAAGAAAGCGGTGCAACTGGAAGTAACTTTTTTTGTTATCAAGGTGAGCCTTTTACGTTCAACCAACAATTGACAATCTACTGCCCCTCGCCCTTTTTTGAATGTGATCGGCTGATTCGATATCGATACCAGCCTCTCTGTATATTTTTTCGTTAAATACGAAACAGTATACTTCCGTAACATTTTAACCCATCTATTTAATAAAGTACAAAAATTATAATATTTGTTCAATACTTTATGTGGGCAGTTTTTAGTCGGTCTATAACCATGATTGTGATCTCAGAATTGAAAAAAACATTTTTCTATTTTATAAAGCGTTAATATATAACTTCATTCCTCGACGAAAAAGAATTGTATCGATTCCATTTATAGGTATTGCATTAATATTGAATTAATTGCTTCCTAAAGGTATAAAAAGTCACAAGACTCTTAAATACCATCTTTTCGGAAATCAGAAAATTATTCAGGTGAATTCTCACACCAAAATCTCATCTGTTAAGATTTTTCGTTTTTCGTTGTTTTTTAGTATTTTAAATTTTTTTTTGTGTATTTTCAAAAATTCGGACTTAAAAATTTGTTTGGGATAGTAAAAAAAAACATCCCAGTTAAAAAACAAAAGAAAGTCTTAAATTGACTTAGGGTGATAAAAAAAAGGTTGAAATAAAAAAAAGTTAAATAATATTTTAGCATAAAAAATTACCTGATTAATTGCCTAGTTTTTAAAGCGAGGGTGATCGTTAAAATTAAATAACATTAAAAGTTATTTAATAAAGTAATTAACGGAAATAAATTTACTTGTATAGGATTATGCTTTAATGATACAAAAGGAGGTTTTATAAATTTTTAATGAAACCTTACATGATTTGTATAACAATAATAAACATTTTAAAAAGAGATCGATTGTCTTAATTCAAGATTTTTGTCAAATTCTACCACTGAATAAAAATAGTAAAATATGTATCATAATTTCTGGAACTATTGAATCGTTATTTATTATTGCTGTTTTAATATTTGAATTCATGTTAATGTTAGACTAATAGACAAAAAATTTCTTTAAATTTACGGCAGACTATGTCCAATGAACACAAGAATTATGCACACTTTTGTTGTGCATAAATTTTTGTACAGAAAATATATGCACAAGCTAATCAATAATAACCACAACATAGTATATTATTATTGTAATGTGCATAATGTTTGTTCCTAAATCAACTTACGTTTTGTGTACATATCATTTAGACAAAATGTTACCTGTAAACAAAGCTGCGCTGATTCACACATAAATATTGAGCACAAAAAAATGTTAATGAAAGAAATTTGTGGTTGTTTCTCACTAGCTTGTGTATTGTTTTTTGTCTAAACTAATTGGTGCACAACAGAACTGTGTACAGTCCTTGAGCGCATAGGACGTAGCCTACTCAATAATAATTTTGAAAATGGAAAGGTGAAACAAAATTAAGTAGAAAAGTGTCTGATTTGACAATTACTAAAGCAATGTTAACAACAACTTAAAATAAAAGTTCATCTATTTTTTAAATAAAAAAATTACGAATACTGTGAAAAGATATATTATTACGTTGTATATTATAGACAAGGCAATATAATGTGTTTGTAAAACTGTGGTAACATATACATAAGTTTTTCTATACAAGTTTAGAATAATACAAAAGCAGTGCTCCCACCTTACTTACTCAGTTTTAAAAGAAGAGCAGTAAATTGTAAATACAAAGTTAACTATTAGAATGAATCAATTTTGTTTACCTATTGATAAAGACATTATTGGTTTGAAAATCACATTTAAAAGATATTATTAATAACTTTATTCATAATAATCATTAAAGTTTATTACGGTTACATGTAAGAGACAGACTGTTCGAAAAAATCTTTAATGAACAGCTAACTTTTCATCTTAATTCAACAAATCTGCATAAACAGTAAAAAAATATAAGGAATTTGAAACATAAGTGGGTGTGCGTGTGTATGTAAAGGAATACATTTTCCCATATTAAGTATTATATGTTACAGTTACTTTTGTGAGGTGGCTTCTCTACAGCTCCTTCCACAAAATAAGGAAAAATTTGTCTAATTTCTCCGTAATTTGAACCTGATAAAACTTTAATCACCCCCCCCCTCCAGTCACCCAAACACCTCCGCGAGGATATACCTACGAGTGAGAAACTGCCATCTTCTCGTTGGAATTTATTTAATGTTCACGATTATTGATACAAAGATACACACATATCTCTATTTGTTCAATCTTAGTTTTTGATTTAATATATATTTCTTTATTAAAAATACTAAAAGTATTCAGTCACTGTTGCATGTACGTATATATATATGGGTGTTGTTGATTCTCGTGGTCTTTTCCCATTTTTAATCATATACGGAAAATATAGTGTTAGTTAGAGGAAAGAAGGTATAGTGTTAGTAGAAAAATATAAGTAGTTAAAGATATTGATAAACATGTTCATTGATGAGTGTTCCAAAAAGTATATAGTACTTATTATACTGTAGCCGTAAAGGTCCATTATTTTGCATAGTGCAGTATTTAGTTAGGCAATTATTATGTAAAGGTATATGATTTTGAGAAAGTTAATGTAAAATATTGTTTTATAATAAAATGAATATTAAATATGCTTAAAAATATACGTCTTACTATAAAAATTAAGGTTTTTTTACCACTGTCAGCATAAGCAGTATTTTTTAGGTAATACAATTAAAAACATGTATTGAAAACTGAAGGAAGTACTTATGGTTATTCAAAAGGTATGACAGCCCTTATAACGGGAGTAAGTAACAATTTGACAGAATGCATTTTGTAAGGAGAAATACAATTGAAGAAGACAAACGCTGCGTAAATACCAGTTTAACGTGTTCAAATGTACAAGTAGGGCTCCACCAAATTAAAGGATGTACTGTCAAATATATTTTTTTTTGAAATTCCTACAGAAAGTGACATACAGTCACGCGATGCGAGACTTAAAGGAGACTTAATGAACTAACTGAACGTAACGTCCTTTTTTACAAAAACATGATCTTACTTTCCTTTGTATTATTATACTTACACGTGGTACTTTTGTTGTAGCGACATCTGTATAATATGTACATTCAATATTCCAGGCGTGAATAACACTGACTGGAGTGTATTACTTACTTGTTCGTGTGTATTATGATTCATGGTTAAAACACTTATATTTTACTTTATAGTATATAAAAATCGTTGTTCATTACGTTGTTGACAATGCGAATGTCAATGGTAGGTCCTTGATTCGGACAGGCGCTGCCGAGTATGCAAGAACACTTGCTATCCGGGATCAAGAGAGCAGGTGCTGTAATGTCAAAGACATACTTGTTAGTAATTGTTGTAATTGTTGATTAATATAAAGAAAACAGTTAGGAGTTACCAGCTCTATTACGTGATATTCGTTTGAGGTCCCTACGGTCCACAAACTCAGCATAGATGGTGGATTGTAGGTAAGAGAAAAATGGCTTCACATTGACAAAATGTACTATCCGTGGTCTCCTGTCGTCATCGTGACGAATGTGTTGTCACAAAAGTATGTCCACATTACAGTATATTGTCGTCATTTATAGTAAAAGTGTGTCAGTTATGCCATTTTTCTTTTAGCTATACAGTATGCCATCTGTGCTGAGTTTACTGATTGTAGGGACCTTTTATGACTAAAGAACAGTCAATTGTTAATGATGCTTGAATTTTTTAATCAAATTGACGGTGGTACAACAATAGATTTGCAGTTTTATCGATCACCGAGGATAAACAGTATTTGGCGTAGTTAGTACTTCATGAATGAGTAACCATTCATATCCCACCGTTGTATCTAATATTTAAATACTCTACAATCGTAAAAAACATTGTGTAAGAATTCAGTTGAATGAACATACGTGCAACTCCAGATAATGATTAACACACTATAACGTAAAAAAAGAAGTAAGCTATAAAAGTAATCTATAAAACGTATGAATAGATTTTTAAATAATATCTATCTACTTAAAAAAGCCATTTTTTCAAAAATTTAACATAAACGTAATAATGATCTGATTATTGACGCACTTCATTCGTTATCTTTCGTAAAATACTAATCTTTTTTGTCAACAGCTTGGGAAAAATTGTAGAAACGACAAAAGTAAAAAAAATAAGTCTGGCAAGAGTCTGGAAAAAGTCTTGATCATGTCTGGCATAACTCTTGATCATGCCAATCAAACTTCTACACTATGTCTGACAAAAGTCTGGCTAATGAGAAAATGGCAACTTTTTCAGTGTTAAATTGTTTTTTTTAATAAAAGTTACAAATTAAGTCTTGATGTATAATTTAGATGCATTTTGATGAGATGAAGATTACGTTCTTATTGACGATAAGTAATGACTCTATTTATAAATTTGAAAGATCTATGATAATTTATTTAACATTATAAGATATACATTTTTGGATTGCTTAAAAACCTACTTTAGTAAGCTCACACGTCAAAAAAGACATAAAAAAGAACAGAAAATAAAACATGGACATTAATTTCTTCAATGTAATTAATTCGAAGCCTCAACCTTTTTTTGGATTTCTTATGGTATTACATATCGTGAAAACCCGTCAATACTCTTTATTAATCATTCGATTTTCTGCAGGGACCTTCTTATTTACGTAAACTGAAAAATAAATTTTACGTAATTTTGTTACTATTATATACATTAAATGTACTTTTTATAGAAGTAAATACACCAAAAAATCCCGTTTTTCTCCCCAATTTTTTAATAAAAGTTTTTTTTGAGGCTCACATTCGAGATGGAATATATTTTTCTCGCAATGTCATGTACTATAAAGAAAAAAAACCAGATTTTAGTGGAGCTGACACCCGTATTTATCATTTTTCCGTCATGGTGCATGACATTGTGAGCAAAATAAGCCTGCATGGTTTTGAAGGTACTTATGCCTCAAAAAAATTTTTTATTACGAAATCGAAGACATAAATTTGCGCATATATATTATATGTAACATATGAAATACTGCTCTGTATATATCTTTCGGAATACAAGGTGTTGCAGCTCTTCCAGTAGGCGTCATGTTTTCTAGTTCATCATTGCCAAGAATTGTTTTTTTCAATCTCCTTGAATTCATGTGGACTTTTTTTCCAATTGATTTTGATGAACATTAATTCTGATTCACTAACGTAAACGTTATACGTCTTTTATTGTGATTTGTATTATATTACTAATTGTATCTATTGTAACGTCAGCAGCCGAACGTTTCAAAATTTTTAAATTGCCTGACACACTCACTCTGTACACCTGACACCCCTGTACTGTCTTCGCTCTCTACTACTCCTATGCATCCGTACAAACAGCCCCAAAGGGAAAAGGCATTTGGTGTTTTCTTATCGCCTTCAAGAAGAAACTATTTCAAAGAAGTTACACCAGCATGCAGTGCACCTAGTATACTTTTATTTCTCTCGATATAAATTTCTGTAGAAAACCGGACGTGGCAAACACTCCAACTTTAGAACAAATTCGAAAGTATGACAAACACCAGATGTTATTTTTAGTCAAATAAGAAACATTATTGTCATAGTGCTTACTTTTTGCTCCAATAACAATTTTTCTAATATTATTGACGAAACGCACGTATTGCTGACTACTCTACTAAACATATATTATTGCAACTAATTTTTAAACAAAGTCTGTATCATCGTAAGCGCTACATTAACAATATGTTGTTACCCTCACTGCTACTACTACAACTATCATTGTTATAGTTATCATTATCATTATTGTTATTATCATTATTATTATTATCAGCATCATCATCATCATTAATATTAATATCATTATCATCATCATTGTTATAGTTATCATTATCATTAACATCATTAACATCGTGATAATTATCATNTTACTATTATATTTATTATTTTCTTTGCTACCATTATTATTTTTATCGTCATTACTAGGATTATCACTACCATTGTTTTTCTTTATTATCAATTAATTGTGATCACTCTTATATTTACATATTAGCGATCTTTTAGCAATAACGTTTAGTTGTAAGAAATACCACCTGTAAAGAGAGACGAGAGGAAAAACTTGAAATTGTCTCCTCCCTCTCTCTCTAGTGCCGTGGGCTGGGAAGAGAATTTTCTAAGATTTGCAACGATCACGTGCTCGAGCCCGAGTGACCTAGAAAACATCCTTTCCTATTCGATGATCGCTTTCCAGGATCGGAACTCGGGACCTCTTCCCAATACCCCAACACTGCGTGTATGTAAGAACGGCGCCCCCAAATTGTCCTGTGCAGAACCGTACATATATAAGGCCTGGAGCATCCTACACCGTAGCCAGTCTCAGTCTCAATCAATTAATCTCACCATCCTCAACTCTCTTATGGTCGAGGTCCTTTGCTTGACTCGTTTTGGTCAAGTTCCCCATACTGCTGTTCTTAATTGGCGGCACTCTTCCAATATTATCCTCGATCACCTCAGTTAAGGGCCTCTGACTTTATTCGCCTTCCATACGTCATCCAACCCCCAATTACAAGTCAGTTCGGGTTGCTATTGCACTCAGTAACAAATAAACAATAAGTAAAATTTAAATAAAAAATCTTTTCAATTTTCTGCTACGTACCTATCCTCAAGAGCAGTCTTTCCGAATTACTCGGGCTGCTTATCTTTGTGTAGGGGAGCAAGCGAGTTGGTTTGCTCGCGTGTACCTTGCGAGAGTGGCTGGCGTGGGGTTAAAACTCCCCCGCGTACCTTACCGTCTCGCATCACGGCCTATTTTCGTCCATTCGGCCGCTACACGAGGAATATTAGTAAAGATCCCGAACAATAAGTGAAAGCTTATAGCTTACGTAACGCTATGAAAAAACACAGCTTGATTATAAAATAAAATTTTACTTTTATCATTAATACAAAAATAAAATTAAAATACAATTACCTTCCTTTTATCAGCTTCTTTTTTATGTTGTTTTCTTTATTATTCCTGCTTTGATGTTTTCATCGAAAAATAAATAAAGAGTCAGATGTTCAAATTTTGTATTGTTTTCTTAATTTTTTTCATAACATGAAACATTATAATATTTGTACTGGCTGAGGTCTTAATAGATCCAGTGTGTGCATTATTTTTATCTATAAAATCATCTCAACACTCAGATGGCGATTCCTCGTGGTGATTATTTGCACTACTAAGAACAAAATATCACTTTGAATATTAAAAAAATATAAATTATTGTATTGCGCTGGTTTTAAGCATTATTTTTTTTATTTTTTTTATTTTTTAATCTCATTTTTATTACCCTAATTTTCATCTGAGTATATGTAGTGCTGTAAATTTTTAGTTATTTGATAAAAATGCTATTATATTTACGTGGAAGCCTTTACCATTCTTTTTGATTTGACCCTTCACCCCACCTCTTGTTACCCACATAATTGTCAGTACACTATTATAAAGCATAGTTTACGAGTTCACAATCTATAATTGGCACATATCTTTCACTCTCAGCATCGACTTCTTCAAACATAGATTTTTTTCGAGAATTTTTTTGTTCATAGCTTTTATAGCTATTAGATGAGCAGCATTTTTTTCAATTCGAACAATCTTTTTCTTATTAATAGCAAACTTGTTCGAAAGCAACTTGTGAATTACTGGATTTATGATTTTTTCGTCGGGGTCCACCATAATCTTTTCCAAGAAACTCAAGTCTGCTAAAGTTACACAATAAGAAAAGTTAACTTTTAGGTTAATTTACTAATTAGAGCCCCATTTTGCCGGGGTTACACATTTTTTTACTTTAACCTCTTTATCTTTAACAATACTTGTTGTTACTTGACTAGTTTTCCATAAAACTAGATAGTACATTATTATAATTAAATATGATTAATCAAGCGTAATCTTTTATAGCTTGATTTCTCAATTTTATGTTGCATCAAATATTTCAGCTTGTATATAGCTATGTTGATGTTTTTCGTGTATGCTTTCAGTTTTAAATCGCACGCGTAGTTTTCATACGTAACCAAAATTAATATTGAAAAAAGTTATAGTTTATTATTTTTTTCCCCTCCATGTAGTATAAAATATTAAAAAAATATTATTTTTCAATAAACGGCCTGAAGAGGTTGGCACATCAGACGATGAAACGTCGTATAAAAAAAATCGTTTTTATTTTAAAAACCATTTTCCCCAGAAGACCGACAGAATAAAATAAAATTTTTTTTTCAATTAGTAACTCTTTACTTACTGAGAACTGTATACAAACAATTTTTACCCGAAACATCCAGTATTAATTAATTTATTGCATTAAAAAAATGCCAAAACGTATCATACACGGTTATCAAGAGTACAGCAGGAGTCAAAAATACAAAATAGAAATTGAGAATACATTCAACAGAGAATTAAATCAGTATGTTTATATAATCTAATAGTTATTTAAATAATAGTTTATTAAAGAAAATATTGCGGTGAATATGACTAATAAAAGAGTTGTCGGGTTATTTTGAGTTACTGCAGTACAGCCTGTTAACAAAAGAACATTTTTTAAATTGCCGCGAGAGCTTACTATAACTGCCCGATGTATTCGGTTTTTATTTGACTGCCTAGTTTTAAAATATGACATTTTTTCACATGAGCATGATTTTTCAATATTTGGTAAAAAAATTATTTTATGAATTCCGTTTCGTACATATTAAAAAAAAAGAACAAAATCACATGTAGTTGAGTATTTCTTCAATGCTGAAACTTTTTTCTTAGGTGTTCATTATTTTATAAAAGTTTGCAGATATATTTGTCATAATGATTGTTCTGATTGTAATATAAGTATTTGTAAGGTGTACGCAATAGTTAATAGATATGAGGATAAAATTAATTACCAATGGAATCTGCTTGATGTTCACTTACCATTTATCTGCGTGTTGACAGATGAAAATCCTAATTTTATCGCTGTATCCATCGAATATATCCAAAATTTGATGTACATAATAACTAATGAAGATAACGCTTATCTTATAGAATTGAATATTAGTCAAAATCAGAGCTGGTCAAAACGAGTCGTAAAAATTTCAAAAGAAAGTTGTTAAGATGCAAATTATGTTCAGTTATAAATTGAGGATTCAAGATTACAAATTATTTTTTGATTAATTAAAAATCATGCACCAATTGAATTCAAGGAACATTGTTCTATTATCGTTTGATTTAATTTAAATAAGTCGCTTCAAAAAGTCTGGCATTTTCTCATTAGCCAGACTTTTGACAGACATGATCAAGATTTATGCCATACAGACAAGATCGAGGCTTTTGCCAGACTCTAGCCAGACTTATCTTTTACCCATCAATGATAAATATAAGAGAGATCTACTACTTTGCAATAATCGCGCATTTTAACGTGTCGTACGTACGATTTGTCGTAGAAGCAGGAGCAGGAGCACGTGTCGTCGGGCCGCTGCTGAACACTATCCCGTTTTCAAACTGTCCCACAACTCGGTCCCACGCACAAACAATCATTAGTATTACGAGCATTGTCCTTTCACCATTTGTAAGATAAAGGCACATTGTAGGTATTCGTGCACTTAAAGCATACGCAGGGCTTGAACTAGAATATTATTAGAGTATGGTAATAATAAGTGAACGTGATACCACGGAAAGGATGAGCGCAAGGCAAAGTACCGCGCTCGATTGTAAAATCACGCATTGTTGCAGCCGGCTTTTTATAGGTGAACAAAGTCAGGTAAGTTGCGTGTGTGTACACGGGGACGTAAAAAAAAGCAAGATTATGTACATACATGCAGAAGAGCCGGAGGTGATGGACAAGAATAATAGACGAGGTGCCTTTTAGTCAAACGAATGGGAAGTAATTTTTGCAGCTCCATGCGCTCACGAGCAATTACCTACGTACACTCATACAAATCTATTATAATACGTTACTGGTGCGTGTACGTGCATTTCGATATCATAGCATTTTCGTTGTTTTCTTTACGAACACACTTCTGGCATTATATGGTGGAGCTGCTTCCGTGCAAAACCGAAAAAGTACGAGTGCTTGTTGTAATATGTACACGCTATGTACATAATATATCTAAATGGGTCATTTCACAAAGACTTCATTATTTTGAATTCCAGACATCTGCAACAGTGGTGTCGAATTTTCAAAATCAGAATCTTATTAAACATTTTTTTCTTAACGCACGTTTTCAGATAAAACCCAAAAATTGTGTATCATTAATATGATATTGAAATAATCTGGCTAAATAGTCGTTACCATCATTTGTAGAGATTTGGAAATGTCACTTTAGTCGGGTATGAAGAGAATGTGCTGTTTTTAACATTTTTTTGGACTCTCGTGCCCAAAAGTTATCATGCAAATACTCCCGTGCAAAAAATAGAATTTAAGTACGCTTCAGTCTCGACTAATGACAACTTTTGCTTGATCGATTTCGTTTCCGTCTCGTAAAAGTACAGAAAAATATACAAGGAACTTCCACGTATACGAAAAATAACTTTTGAAAAGGATGTGATATTTCGACTCAGCTCGACAAATCATAGTAAAAAAAAAAAATTTTTTTTATACTTTGTGTTGATAAAAACGTGTTTTTTATTTAGACGCACCTTGTTAGACCAAAGATAAAGTAAAATTATACGTATATATGGGTATAAAAGAGGAAATAAAAATTTTAACGACAAACATCATGGAAAAAACGTGATTATCACGGCTACAGGACTATATATCTGGGAGTTTCCTGCTGATTTTAAGGGTAATTATCCTATACTTAAACTTTACTCTTATCAGCGTACATCGTATTTTATATTTTTGTATCCACGTGACCTTAGCACAGGATGACGATAGTTTTATATAACTATATGTACGAATGCGTACTTACGTTACAACACATTTTTCCTTGTAAGCCGTGAAGACTAAAGTAGGTTAATTTCGTAATGAGCACTACATTGTTATGAGTGCGTCTGCTGTAAGTCATCCTTTTAACGACGATTATTTTATGCTAAGGCTTATTTATCTGTCCTACGATATTTCTCTACGTAAAGCGAACCATGTGATTGATGAGAAAAATAAATTATGATTACTCGGAACAATGGACATTACTCCCCTTTTACATGTATACCTACACTTATGATAAAACTTAGAAACATGTACTTTCTAAGAAATGTATATTTTTTTTTAATTTCCTTTTTTCTCCACAAATTCTTTCATCGAAAGCTGTTTTAAGATAAAAATTCTTCATACGATCAAAGTACGTCGAAAAACGTATTTTATGAGACGTGAGAAAAAGTAAGGAGATACAGTTAATCAAATTTCTATTCAATCAATTTCAAAGTATAATTTTCTATTTTTATTTAAATAGTTAACTAGAATAGCCATTATGTTATTGTGTTAACATAATTGCTTGTTCCCTGTAATAAAAATAAATCACATTTATTCTGCGAACATTAAATTTCATTTTTAATTAGCTTCTACACTGAAAAAAGTTATAGCTAAAGAAAATTCTCTTTGCATGTGAACCCTATGATGTTGCGTGAACAAAATACATAAGACCAAGTGAATAAATGAGCTCAAATATAGAAATCTGATTAATATTACTTGGAATTGAGATGTCTGGGCGATTTTTGAGCACATTTTCTCTTTAAATTTTGTAAAAAAGAATCATAGATATCTAAAATTTTTACGTAGGTTCCGTATGTTTACAATTATTTCATACTTATTATATGTACAGTAAAGTAAAGAAAGTCTATGATAAAGCTGATTTTCCACAAATATTGTCGTAAGTACCCTTGGCGTCTGCTTTACTTTTAATCAACTGTTAGCTACGTGGGTAAACATTACTATGAAAGACGTATTTCATTGCTAGGTCAAGTGGAAAGCTTCAGAAAAAGTTTCAGATCCACTGATTAAGAAGGTTGAACGGTACAGGTAAAAGGGGGGGGGGGAGTGAGGTGAAAGATCCTTATATAAGGTCCTGTATTTAAAAGTTGTACTATTATTTATTCAAAAAACGCCCTTTCTCTACATTACAGAAAATGCAATTGTATACAATTCTCCAGTCATCAACAAAATACTCAGTTTTTAAAAAATAACATAAAATACAATAGTTAAAAATTTAAGTTTTATTGTACACATAGTCAAGTAGTGTGTGAATATTTTTCCTTTGCAAGAAAAATAATTTCCAAGGAATAGCATAGGCACTCAAAGCTCTTGTCCGACTAAAATGAGCCATAAATTTTAGAAAATGCTGGTTGGAATTATGTTGCAAAACGCAACAGCAAGTGATAAAGTACAAGGTCCCATGAAGAAGTGCCCCAAAATTCAGATCCTAATTTTTACTACTACAAAAGTAATTAAGTATAACTAGAGAATATAGAATAAATCTCTTTATGTATGACGGCCAGAGCAAAAACAACACTGTTTTACAGGAAAAGTCGAAAGCCTAGGTGAGCAAAGGCGCTGTGAGCCTATAGATAGTTACATTAGTGATCGTATCTTTTGAAAATGTACGATAACCTATACTTTATAAGATACCATAACCACCAATTTCTACTGAATTGCATAACCTTTCATCAGAAAATATAGAAACACATCCCTTCATGTAGGGATGCTTTCTATATTCTCTGCTTTCATTGAATATGCATTTTTTTCAGTGCTGCATTTTTGCAACCTTTACTAGCTAACTCAAGATTATAAATTTATTGCTCTGTATAGGAGCTTATGTTAAGCTTTGTCGTTTCATGAATCAAAAATCACGGTGTAAAAATTAAAGAATAATTTCTTGAAGCTCATCCATCTTTTCTGCACTTTATGAAACGATTGAACTTCATGAAAATACAAATTTTTAATCTGTTATTCATTTTAAATTAATAAAATGTGGTTATAAATGAGGTGTAAAACTTTTTTTTTACTCTATGTCTCAATAACACACAAGGATTGTACATTTCCTTTCAACAATAAAAGAATTGCACCCTGAACTATTCAACAAAATAGTAATAATTTTGACGTTTAATAGGTATTGTAACGTTACTTTAAATTAAAAAATATTGTATTTTTCAGTTTAGAGTAATAAACGAATGACTATTGCACTAAATAAAAAGTATTATTTTATTAGAGAAACCTATGATAAAAAGTTCTTTTACTCTCATAATGGTTCCTTAATAAATTAAAAAAAAAAAGAATCTGATGAATATTTTAATAGTTGTAAATTTTAAGCTTGAGTTTTCTGAGAATTTCTATTTATGTACCGTTTTATAACAAAATCATTTTAATTGATTTTCGTCACAGGAGATATAATAATTATCATACATAATAGTAGTTTTTTGTGGTGATAATCTCCTCTTATTTTTTCACAGCCATTCTGATAAACCATGAGTAAAACGGCTCTGCATTGCTATGTAATTCTGAACATCTGTATGTATAAGATATCGCTATTGGCATAGTAGAAAATTGCTTCGGACTGATTATGAATTAACTACTTACACACGAAGAGGGGAATCCTATTTTACTCGTACGTTGGTTTAATATACACATTAGAAATTTGCTTCTTAAAAGCGTAAGCAAAATGAGTAATGATTGGGTCTAAAACTCATAAGCATTTGTAATACCAATCCCCCAAGAAACAAGAAGCGGAGTTAAAACCAATGTGCTAACGTGGCTGTGTTCTTATGTTACTGAAGAAACTTTAATTGTTGGGCTCATAATAATATATAGAACAAAATATATCCTTTAAGACGAGCTCATTTTTTTACAGCAACTCTCTAATATTGTTCTTTAGTATACAGCTAATATCATCATTATCATTATCATTTTCATCATTGTATCATTTTTTTACAAAGAATATAAAAAAAATTTTGAAAGACTAGTCAAATAACTTCACCTTTCATCTTTTTTTCTACTTCCAAAACAACTTGTACGCTGTAAAGATTGAATGTGTCAATGTGTAATATAATTAAGTACAAAATACTCCTCTTGTTACGACGTATAACTGATGATAATCTCTAAATAATACCATGGAAAATCCGAAAATTACTCGAATTAATGCAATTTTTGCGATAAGAAAGATAACCAGCATTTTATTGCCATTGTTCTCACAAATAGCATGGATTTATATTGTTTTACATTTATCGTGTCCGGTCTATCGGGAACTTGTCTTTTTTATGATTGCAAGGTTGAAAAACGAGGCTATTTTATATCCAAAGACACAGTCGTGGGCTCGTGATTTATTTTTGCCACTTCACAAAGCGTGAATTTAGATTGAAAATAATGAATTTTAATGACCCACAATTTTGCTAGCTTACTTTAATGATTGAATAATTATCACTGATTTTAAAAGTTGAATCAAAAATTCATATGATTGTCGATTTTTTTTAGCAAGTATAACAATTTTAAAATTATAAGAAGTCAAAAACTTAAATTTTGTTAACAATGCGAGAAAAATGTTTTCAGTACAAAAAACAATGTAAGCAAATGATGTTTGGTGATGACAAAAGTATCACATTAAATGATCAAAAAACTTGTTATGTATACTAATTAGATACATATTAGTTCAATATGTAAATTAACATTTCACGTGTTATACATATATATATATATATATATAGATATATATATATATAT